CGTGTCACCCTGGAACTCCCCTATCCATGTGGTACCTAAGGACTCTGGTGAGATCCGGCTAACCTTGGACTTACGCAAAGTCAACGAAATAACGGAGCCACAAATTTTCCCCATGGCAAGAATTGACGATATTTTGGCTCAACTTGAAGGAAATCGCTACTTCTCTGTCCTTGATTTAAAGTCTGGCTATTTCCAAGTCCCTCTTGATCCAAGAGTCAGACATATTTTTGCTTTTTCGACGCCATGGGGGAAATATCAGTTGTGCAGAATGCCTCAAGGAGGTAGGAACAGTGGTCGTTTTTTTCAGTATATGATGACTAAGGTGCTCGCGAGATTTATTGGGTGTAGTTGCCACGTGTTCCAGGATGACATTGTGTTGTTTTCAAGGAATCTCGATGATCATTTGAAATTACTGGAGGAAGTAATAATCACACTAAGGGATGAAGGTTTACGTTTGAATCCAAAAAAATGCCAGCTCCTAGCTAAGAAGGTTAGATACTTAGGTCATGTTATTGACGCGGAAGGAATTAGGCCCGACCCTGAAAATGTGAGTGCTATAAAAAAGATTAGACCACCTACTAACATCAAGGAAGTACGTAGTTATCTGGGAATGGTAGGATTCTTCCGCACCTTTATCCCGTCGTTTTCCGAAATAGCGTCCCCTCTCACTGAATTAACCAAGAAGGGAAGGAGATTTTGTTGGGATGCACATTGTCAAGAGAGTTGGGATACTTTAAGACATGCCATAGCAAATCCCCCCGTATTGGCCCACCCCGACTTCAATAAGGATTTCTTCCTCCACACTGATGCTTCAGACCAAGCTGCAGCAGCTGTTTTAGAACAAATGATCAATGATAGCCTCGTTCCAATTGGTTTCTACAGTAGGAAATTCAAGGGGGCTGAGTGCAATTACTCAACAATAGAGAAGGAATGCCTAGCGATTTTGTTATCTTTAAGACACTTTAAGCATCTCATTTTGGGGAGAAGAACCATAATCCTGTCTGACCATAAACCCTTGAGTTTTTTGAGAACTATCAATAACGGCAGTCGGCGTCTTACAAGGTGGGTTATGGAACTGGCTGATTATGATATCGAGGTCAGCCACGTAAGGGGAGCTGATAACAAGGTCGCAGACTTCCTTTCACGTAGCATCAAGGAGGTGAACCAATTTGAAATTGATTATAGTACCACAAGGATCCCCATGGAAATAGAAATAACTGAATCACAAGATAGGGATAGCTTGTTCGGGCCCATCAAAAGAGACATTTCTCGTGGGAGTAGTTCAGGAAATAATTTTCAAGGTTATACCTTAGTAAACAACTGTTTATATAAAAACTTCTATTGGAAAGCTAGGAATAGTTGTATTAATAGAGTGTGTGTAGGAGATGATCTTGCTAAGAAACTTGTTAAGGCAATCCACGAGAACCAGCTTACAGGGCATTGGGGTGTGTTAAAAACATTAAAAATTATTGAGAAGAGTTACTTCATAAAAAATGTAAAACGAATAGTGGAGGAGGTTATAAGAGAATGCCCTAATTGCCAGAAACATAATGTACATAAGGGCAAGGCCCCCCTTCAGAGTAATGAAGGAGCGAGTGTTCCCTTCCAAAAAATTGCCATAGACATTATTGGCCCGATCAAAACATCAGGAAAAGGGAATCGCTTTATACTCGTCATCGTCGATGTTTGCACACGCTTCATTGAGGCCCACCCTGTAAAGGATCAAACAGCGTATTCCATTAGCAATGTGATCTTTGATCAGATAATTTGTAGATATGGGATCCCAGAAATCATCATGTCTGATAGAGGAAAAAATTTTTTGTCTACCCTTTTTGTTGATATATGCAGTTGGCTAGGCATTCAGAGGAATATTACAACTGCGTATAGGCCGTGTGCGAATGGAATTTGTGAGCGTGCAAACCGATCACTTACCGAAATGATAGCCAAATCAAGCGAGAAGGATAATGTTGATTGGGATGATTTGATCCCGGCTGCGTGTTTCGCTCATAACAACACATACCATTCAAGCCTTAATGAAACTCCAGCTTTCCTCCTTTTCGGTATAGATCCACGAACTTCATCCACGGAGCTTGTACCGAATGGCATGACAACCGACGAACGGAGGGCATTCCTCCTCACTAAGTTACAAACCATTAGGGAGTTGTCAGAGAAGCAGGCAGAGTCTCGACAAGAGAAAAATCGTAAATATGTAAATAAGGGAAGAAACCTAGTCGTTTTCAATGAAGGACAAAGGGTCTGGGTGCGTCGTAAGGGTGTGAAGAGGGATAAGTTTGCCCCAATTTATTTAGGCCCCTTTCGAATTATTAAAAGAATAAATACTACAACATATAAGGTGCAAGGTTGCAACAAGAAGGACGTAGATACGGTTCATGTGGATCGCTTAAAACCATGCTACGGTTGTTTGCCACCTAAGGAAAGGAAGAGGAGGATCCTACAGCACGAAGGACAGAACATGAACACAGATTTGGATGAGGAGGAGGAATGTGTAGATGTGCGTGAAGTTAGACGACATAATAAGGAAAGGGCGGTTAAGGAAAAAAAGATAGTATCTGAGATGAGGAAGGATGAAGGAGGTAATTCTTACAACCTCAGGGGTAGGAAGGTCGACTACCGGAAGTTACATTCCGGATTGAGTTAAAAGGGGGGGAGATATGTAGTGTTTGTTCACTAAGTATTTGTATTTTATCATTAGTTATATATAAATATATATTTTTCGTTCTTGTCGCAAGTTATTAATTGTAAAATTTCCGTTAGGTTCGTACCACCTCTTGTGATGTGGTGGTGCGAGCCCGTGATTGGCCCCTGCCATGACGTAGGTTCCCTCGTCAGGTACGTGGCGCGGAGGTATAAAATAAAATGTGCCACGTGCAGAAAACCCCCGTTCTTCCTGGTTCTGTGGTGCAGGAGTGTTCGTGTCGAGTTGGTAAAGAAGGAGAAGGAACAAAGGAAGTTGGAGAACAAGGGAAGAGTGTGCCACGTGGAAGAGAACTTTATGTGCGAAAACGTAGAGACTTTTCATCGAGCATCAAGATCAGCCTTTTCGTAAGGATAGTCAACTTATTGTTCTTTTCTTTATATTTTTAAAACCTAATTGTCGTGTCGGGAATATTTGTGATTTTTTTTTTAAGTCCTATTGTCGCGTCGGGGATTATCTATCGAATTATTCATTAATACTCTTGTATCCGGACAAGAGGGGTGACAAGAATCCCAATGCTAACCGAAATTCGTGATTGAACCTCAGACATGTATTCTAGAGAAATTAAAATTGTTCAGTGTCCCGTTGATTCGTGTTGTCCTTTCTGTTCTCAAGCTCACACTAACGTACTTCGGTACGCTAGGGATCTACAAGCGGATATTAACCATGAAAGAACCAACACAGCTCTTGCCATATACTCTTCGGACCCTGACATAGAATCCATATTCTCTCAAGCAAAGGTCATTCACACCACCCACCGCATGAACCAGCTCAGATGGCTGGAGGCTGTCTACATATGCCTAAACACGATTAAAGAATGTAATTGCATTAACTACAAGGATGGAATCGCTCTATCAACAGCCTGGCAGGCCCTACTAGATAAATCTCTAGGATAGAATACAACATGACTAACACGCAAGTCCGTAGTGACGTCATTGGGTTGTGACATCATTCTGGATGGTATTTCTTAACAACTTTGAACCGAAGCACATTCTGTTAGGGGATAGTTACCTGAAGAAGAACCGTAACGGTTCGAAAATGTTTAACTTTATTTTAGAGTGTGATGAAACATGCACCGGTAAAAGGTTTATAGATATGTGTTTTTGTTATATATAAGTTTAATATAAAAATAGAAAATGTTCTATTTTATACAGTTTACAAATGGAAAATGTTATAATACCATAAGAGTATATAATTTTAATTACAGAACTCTCCAAAACTGAATTGGCCATAAAGAACTTTAGCATAAATAACTGAAAACTGACATGAAATATCAACAGATGAAAAATTGAAAAATTGAAGATAGCAAGCTCAAATATCAAAATTTTTGAAAGACAGTCTAAAGCAGGGATGGGTAACCTTTATCTACGTAAGAGCCTTATTTCAAAATTTTTGAACTGGCATGGATCTCATACAAGATAGAAGGGGGGAAAATGTTGGTAAATCAATTATTTATTCATATATAATTATAAATTAGAATAGGTATACTTAATTTAGCTTCTGGAACTGATGTAAACATAATATATCAGAAATATTTGGTTAAATATTAGTCACTGCTAGTTTTAAATTAGTTTCAATGTGAGTCTGTTAGCCAGTTTCTTGTTTTAATTTTTACTAAATTCATTGCAGGAAAAACTATTCACATACATAAGTTGTAGAAAATAACAGTTGAATTTTTGCTGCATACTTCCATTAAGCTGATAAATTGATATATTTATACATATTTTATGTGATGTGGGCCGTAAAAAATATTAATGCAGGCTGTATGCGACCCAAGGGCCGTGAGTTGCCCATCCCTGGTCTAAAAAAATGTAAATATGACCAAAAGAAAAGTTTGTGAGAGAAAAAAATTGTAACTAGCATTCAAATTGCAAAAAGATCGGTAAAATCTAAAATATAATTGTTTAATTTATTATTTTACAAAATTATAACATAAGTCGACCCGTTATAACACTGTTGATTTTTCTGTTTTATATGAATTCCATGTTGTACGAGTCACTTAGATTTTACAAATACGTGAGCCGTTCACAGCCCGGCACATGTATTTGTAAAATCTAAGTGACTCGTACAACATGGAATTCATATAAAACGGAAAAATCAACAGTGTTATAGGGGGGTCGACTTGTATATATGTGATATTTGTATAATCATTATTTTAAAATTAAAGAAAAGTAAATTTAATTAAATGTTAATACTGCTAAAATTAATTTAATAAAATGTTAATACTGCTATTTATTATCTGTTTATAAATATTATAGAAAAAAAGTAGAAATTTTAATCTTACCTTGTGGAATTTCATTTATCCTTTCTTTGCATATATTAGGCTGAAAAATAATGTTAGTATTTGTGAAACTAGCTTGCAAAATACTTTTATGTATTATAAAAATTAAAGCAAAAATATTTAACAATAAAGTAATTTATTTTCTTTAAAATAACATGTAAAGTTATAACTTATTTAAAAAGAAAAAAGACCTTTAAAAAATTATATATGATTATTTTAAAATAAATTTATCAACTTAACATATCATCAATTAATAATCAATATAAAAAATTTATTTATTTATATATAAACGATATTCTTTTTTAAAACACTTATTGCTAGTATGCACATATAGTGACTGAACATATATTATTGCTTTTATTGAGTAACTTGCTGGTACCATGTACTGGCTACTAATATTTTACAACGTTATCTACCAGTATAGTATACTGGCATGCTCTAACTGAAAAATAAATTACATATAAAATTCTTCATTTATTCATAATTTCAGCCTCAAAATCATCATTTTCTTTAAACAGTTGTTAAAATGACAATTCAAAAACTTTTCATTAAAAATCTTGTATAAGAATACATAACAAAAAATATGTTATACATTCTTATAGATGAAATGATGGCAAATGTATAAAAACTAACAGAAATATTTAATAAATAAAATTTTTGTAAAAGTGAAAGTACCTATATCTTGTATATGAATGTTCATTAACTGAGTTCATAACTATAATAAGATACTTTTATCTCCTTTATTAATCATTGTTTCTTAAGAAATAGCTATAAAAAAACCACTAAACTATAAAATAATAAACTGTCACAAATCATGCTTAAAGATGGGTAGGAAAGAAACCTTTTATAGTCAACAGTAAATATTTTCAATTGCATGTTACAGACATACATGAATAAACATTAAAAATGATACAGTCATGAATTTGGGATGTAACTCACTACTCATTGGTTTTTGCAATTTTTAATATCTAAAATTACAGTTTTGATTTAACCCGACACTTACATCCTAAAATTATACTCCCTGCCAATCTTTAAGTTGGATTTGTGACAATTTGCTATTATGATCATGTCAATATAAGCTGTGTCCTAATTACTATATCTGTCATATTACATGAATTTATAATAAAGACATTGCATCAAAATTAAATTAAACATTCTTCCACAGTTTACATTTTTTTTTTTTTTAATTTTCATGTATGCATTTAAATTCTCAAATGCATTAAAATATCATTTCATTTTAAAGAAAATCATTTGAAAAAGAAATTAAACTTGATTCATTTTTTAAATTAATTAAATTTAATATTTGTATTTTTTTCTTGTTAAACTATTGAATAGTAGTAATACATTTAGAAAATTTTGCTTAATTTTCAATTAATTTAAAAAAAATAAACATTTCTGATATCTGTCAATTAACAGATCTAAACAATAGCATCCGTAAAGAAAAATATATTTATAAATGTTCTTAAAAAAATTTCTTTTTGATTTAAGTTTGATGATATAAAGTGAAAAGTATGAAAAGTTGTAAATTGTAATATTCTTTTAATAAGTCAGTTATAAAATTATTGTCATGAAATGCAAATTAACTAATATTTTCATTTAATATGATTATCTTCATCTTTCACATAAAAATAGTACATTAATCATATTAACAATCAAATTTTCACACTTCTGTAAAACTAATATGCAAAACTAAATTAAAATGCTACTAATTAATAAATTTGTATTCTTGATTCTGAAGTTTCAAAAAGTAAAATGATATTAATATTTAAATGTCAGAATTAATTGTTTTAAGCATCCAATGTAAATTAGATCTACTTCACATGAAACTAAATTTTTAAAAATAAAATACCGTATATATAAGTAAAACATTTATCTTTTCAAATAAACAATTTTTTTCAAAAAAATTACGTGAATAAATTTAAAATTAATATGATTTGTAATAGTTTTAAAGAATTATTTTAGTTTGTCATTTTATAACAATCTTATTTAATTGAAATTATTTGTGAAAACTCATAAAAAATAATAAAATACATACCCAAAGATGAAATACTTTTTGAGTCATTGATGATCCAAACGTAATTAAATTATTTGCTTTACAGATAACATTGGTCATTATACCAAAGCATTTCTGATCTCGACTATATTCGTTTAAATCTGTTCCTCCAAAAATAATTAAGTATGGCACCAAACATTCTGAAATATACGTTTAAAAAAGTAAATACTACCATTTACATATACACTTACTATATTTTTTTAAATATCAGTTTTAAAGTTAAAAAAATTTGCAATCCTTCAAATATAGAAACTGTTATATAAATATTTAATTGTTTTGACAGGTGATGCAATATTAAATAAACTGAAATATTTAAAAATATCTGATTTGTTCCAATTAACAAATTATTGAAAATCATACAAAAATTTTAATATTTTTTACATATCTGACTATGATAATAATAACCTTACAAATGTTTTTAGTTAAAATTTTATTTATATTTTGATAGTTTATTATTATTTTACATAATAATAAACTATCAAAATATAAATTATTATTTTACATAATAATAAACGATCAAAATATAAATAAAATTTTAATAATAACCTTACAATTATGTAAAATAATAAACTATCAAAAGGTTTTTATTGTAAGTTAAATGAAAAAGTAAGTAAGTACAAATAAAATTTTTGCCTTCTAGATTTAAAAACAAGATATATTTAAAACTTTCAATTTGATGTATCTGTAAAAGAGTTCTTCATTATATTTTTAGGCATTTTTATACAATAATCTGAAATTTTAAAATATACTTTAATTCAAATAAGAATGTTTAATTTTTTCTATTTTTAAATAGTGTAAACTATTGGTTAGCTAAATGGGAATTTCTATTATTTATTTTGTTTTTTAATAATGTTTAGAAAATAAAATGTTTTTTATATAAAAAAATAACATAAATTGTAAATATTTTAAAATAATATGGTTTGAAGTTAGTTCAAAATATTTATAATTTTTGATATAATAAACGCATTTTAAAAGCATGATTTTGAAAATTTACTTAGTTATAAAAATGTAAAAACTTCAATAGAAAATATTAAACTACTAACAAGTCAATGACTACTATTGATATACTGACAGTATGCAAGGTTGTCTATAAAGAAATCACATCAGTGATACACTTGATTTTTGTTCATAAATTATATTTACTATTAACTGTATTAGACTGTTCTTTGTACTGTATTTTGTTTGTAAGCTGAAAATTAAACTTAGTACATCTGATGAATTTGTCTGAAGTTAACAGTAATTGTAAGATTATGTTTTCAGTGATGATTCTATAGAAAGAAATCTATTCAAGTGGCAAGTCTCTAACATAAACATGTTAATGATGGAGTTAAATATTTACTAGATAAAATGACAAAATTGATTAACATATTTACATACATTAAACTACATCACATTTACTTTCTCAATTATTTTAAAGTGAAATTAATTGTTTTCTTAAATTTATTTGACTAATGTTGGAATTAAAGAACTAAGTAGATGTAAATATTTTCAATTGTGTTATTTAAATTATTTTCAGCTGTTAATAAATTATTAATTCTTGGAAATAATTTCAGGTATATTGAATATTGTTACAAAAATAAAGAAATGTTGTAATTTCTATTATTTAACTTAGTCATGCAAGTCTTGTGTTAACTATTGAAGTGTAATAGAAATGTTTCAATTTTCCACATTAAAAATAATTAAAAACTACAATTATTTTTAGTTTATATTATTTTTTATAAAACTATTACATACATTTTATATATATATA